TCCTCTTTTAAATCTCTTCTTGTCTTCTCTTGATTTTCCTTCTCTCCCTCCGTGGGAGCAGCCAGCAGCGTCCTCTGTAACAATGTTCCGGATGTTCCACTCGCTGTGTGTGTGTGATGGATACAGCGAACAAGTTATGATATAATTAGATTTTTTACTGTATATTAGATCAGGAGGGATTGTCAAAATATATCACACTGACAAAACACTCATAACCTAGGTGTGTGTATTTGAGAGAGAGCCTGATATAAAAACTAAATATATATTGTGTGTTTGATTGGTCCAGACGCTACATAGATGTGCTGGAAACATCAGATCAGGGCAGGTTGAATGTTTTCTCTTCTATGGTGACAGGCAGACACATATTGAGCAGCAAACACACAGCAGTTCTTGTGTTCTCCTAACAGATACGGCAGTTTCTAAGAAAATTTTCTCTCTCGTGCGCTCTCTCTTTCTCGCGCTCTCTCTCTCGCTCTCTCTCTCGCTTGCTCGCTCACGCACATACACACACACACACACGATGTGCAAAACTCCACATTTGAACAGTCAATAGCAAATACTTAAACTAATAACAAAACAGTAGCTAATTCAGAAGCGCCAGATTGTCATAGCAAAGTCAGAATTGCCTCCTCTCCTAGGTTCACGAAACGGTCGTCCATAAAATGCATTGCTGTTCTGTTGTAAGTAATCTTAAAGATTCCTAAGTGCATCTACTTCCGGAAGGCCAAATAAAGTGCTTATGCTTTCGCCTAGAAACGCACAGCGTCTCCCTGACATTGGCTGCTTCAACACTAACTGCGGTTACTGAAACCACGCCGCCTTTCTTTGCGTAAACATTTGGGTGGCATTATGCAAATATTTTCACATAGTGAGGTAGATATGTGGGGGCGTGTTAGAACGAGCCATTTTAGGGGGGCGTGGCAGAGTCTTAACTTTGATAAAGTATATCTCTTTGGTTTTGAGACTTTAGTCTTTGCAACTTCAGGGATCTTAGCTATGCACAATCAGCTTGTAACACTCCAAAGAGAAAGGAAAACTTGAAATCGCATCATATGACCTCTTTAAAGTAAAAATAGCTTGTCATTAAAAAAAGATCTAAAACTTCATCAAAGAATCATGAAAAAATTTATCCGTTTATACAAAAATATTAAGCAGCACAACTGTTTTCAACATTGATGATAATAAGAAATGTTTATTGAGCATCAAATCAGCATATTAGAATGATTTCTGAAGGATCATGTGACACTGAAGACTGGAGTAATGACTGCTGAAAATTCAGCTTTGCCATCACAGGAAATAAATAGCATTTTTAAATATTACAATTGAACAGTTATTTTAAATTGTAATATTTTACTGGTACTGTTTTCACTGTATTTATGATCAAATAAATGTAACTTTGTTGAGCTTAAGAAGACCGTTTGATGTTTGAAAACGTAAAAAAATAAAAATGAAAAAATCTAACCATCCCCAGACCTTTGAATGCTAGTCACACTTAAGGCATAGCATTCTATATCTAAATGTTCTGTACTACTAGTAAGAACTGTGATATTGGGAACCAAAAAGGGGAGAGAGAGCGAGCGAGCAAGTGTGTCGGTTCTCTCCCCGGGAACTCTGCTGCAGTCTCCTTACAGAAATCACTGAATATTTCGGCAGCTGAAATTGTGGCTGAGGAATACTGAGGTGCTTTCTGATCTTCTGCTCGTCTAAATATCTCGGCAGAAACACACTTTATCTCCTGCTAACTAGGGCTGTCAAAATGGCTGAAAAACTACATTTGAATTTTGTACTTAAATATGATCAAAATTCAAATAATATTCGAATTTAAAATGCATAATTTCAGTTAGGGTGAAGAAAAGCTTTTGACTTCTCTTGAGGCCACAAGAGGGCGCATCAAGCAAAATATTACTAATGCACGTTTATTCAAAGCATAAGATAACATGACTATATGTGGAAAAAAGTGCATAATGTTTAAAATAATGTTTATAAACCAATTATAATTAAGTTGCTTAAACAACTAAAACTATGCATACATACATGATGCTATTTTATTTAAATACAAAGGGTGGATAGCCAATCACACAGTACATTTTCCGTTTAAAAACATGGGACGCAGTGGGATGGGGAAAAAACCCGCCATAAAGTCTCGATAAGTTAAACTTGCATTAATTTTACATGGCTTTTAAACATATGGCTCCATTGTGCGAAATGTGAGTGCAGCGGTGATAGATGTCCCTCTAGAAAATGCGCAAAATATGTGTTCTGTGTGAATGGCTTGGTTTCAGTTTTGATGTAAACAAGATCTTCTCCGCATTGATGTTCTCTTTTTCTGTAAAGCGCAGCATCTAGTGGCTTCAACTGGATAGGCTAACAAAAACATTATAATGCAACGACACTTACATCGTCATTGCATCTCGTGCGCCACTGATAAGGCTGCCTCAATGCACAACTAAAATTCGATATGGATTTTGATTTTAAATTCGACGAATATTCGAAAGTCGAATGCTAACACTCTGGACTGCACTGGAGATAGAAGAATGTCATATACAAGGGCAGCTCTGTACTATAGGACAATGGACCGTTTCTATGGGTTGAGCATCTAAATTACATTCTAATCCTTTTTGAGTCCATAAGTGTAAACTATTACGTTCCTTTTTGGTACATATATATTCTGACTTTTTTATTTTATTTATTTATTTATTTTTAAATCCATTTTTGTTTTTCATATTACTTTATTTTGTATTATATACAAGGGAATTCTGGTGAACATGTTCTTTATTTACTTTTCTGTTTTCTGTTAAACATGTTTTTGCATTGACACATCCAGTCTAGGATCAAATTTCCCACTGTCGGAAATGATCACAGTCAGATCCTGATCCTGGAGCAAGTTTACACACAGCCACAAATTACATGTATATATATTTTTCCTTCCATCATGTCGATGCAGTTCTTTGGTCTGAGTAAACATTTTCATCGCGTAGCACGTACCAAACAAAAAACCTTCCAAACGTTTTCTTGAAATGGACGTCTGTGCACGCCCTGTGACATCTCTGAATCAGCAAGGCTAACAATTGTTTGATTGTTCCTTTCTAATTGAGGAAGTCAGGCTTGAGTAGGTTTGAACTGCTGTGCCCTGCTGTGAAACGCCATTTTTCAGGGGCATGGAAGGAGGTGTTGACTGTTAGAAATCATTACTTCTGTTTCAGAGAAAATCACTTATACACACAGCTCCTTTCATTGAGAGCTGCTAGGAAACAGAAGAAAAAAAAACAGTTTGAGACATTTTTATTATAACCTTTTTACAAATAGGGTTTCAAATATTTCTCCTTCCAAGGCTGCAATTTCATCGACTGTTCTCATTTTCTGAATGCTGTTTGATGAGTGGCTATAGCAGCCGCGCTGTAGATAATGTTTATACGCAGATCTGGTTAAACTGATTCCTTTAACAAAGAGGTCAAGGCTTGATTGGCTGGTTTTATTGAAAGCAGATAATGATGGTATTTGAATAAGAGCCTGTCAAGGTGCAATTTTTAAAGATGGGTCTGTGCTTTTGAGACCAGCATTCTGATCTGCTCACTTGAGACAGAGGCAGATTCGTTCCTAATAGTTTTTTCAGTCTTGTTTCTCATGCAGTGACGCTCTTATGTGCTCTTCAACCAGTTTACAAACGTCCGTCTTCTAAAACACTCCTGTTATTGTCAGAAATTGTGTTCTGCCTTTGAGCAGATCGGATGCCCAGAATAATTTAAATGCAAATTTTGGGACTATTTACTGACAATTACCAAATAATTGAGTTGTTTCAGTCTTTTTTTTTCTTTCCGTTCTCAGAGCTGGGTAATGCCAATTGGCTACTTATTGTGGGGGGGGGGGGCGGGGGTGGGGGGGGGTTGATTTCTGTTATGATTACAAGAGCGGTGACCTTTTGTATCTTGTATCTTGTATCTTTTGTATCAATACCGTAATATGCATTGTGAATGCATTCTTTTTTATGGTTCATTCAGTGCAGAATTACATTATCAATTATATTGTTGTGTAAGGCTAATAAGCAAAGCCAAGGTCTGTTCTTCTGTGCTTGTGTTTGTGTTAATAATAGGACATGTCGATCATTTTGCAAAGAGCATTGCGAGACAATGCTTAGCCATTTTACAGATTTTTGCTCTCCAATCAATGGAGCCATACATTTAATTTACTCAAATTAAAGTAAAATGCTTCAAATAAAATGATAAGCTGTTTTCACAAGCTTTTTCTATTAGATGAAAAAGGTATGAGGTTTATCCACTTTTTATTTATGTTTCACTATAACAATAGTTGGTCATAAACCGAAACATGTACTTTTTTATATTTTTCTATTAGTTTTATATAAAAAAAATATATATACTGTCTTATTGAAACAATGTAGTACATTATGGAAGTATTTTCGAATGTTGCACAAATAAGTTGTTGAATAATCAAACCAAGCAAAAAGTGAGCCTTTAATGCGCTCACCAAAATGGATGTAACAGACGTGCACAGGGGATTTTTTTTTTTTTCAAAGCTCACAATGCAGTTCTTTGGTCTGAGTAAACATTTTCATCGCGTAGCACGTACCAAACAAAAAACCTTCCAAACGTTTTCTTGAAATGGACGTCTGTGCACGCCCTGTGACATCTCTGAATCAGCAAGGCTAACAATTGTTTGATTGTTCCTTTCTAATTGAGGAAGTCAGGGTTGAGTAGGTTTGAACTGCTGTGTTTTGTTCAGTATGCGTATTGAAGCCCTGTGCCCTGCTGTGAAACGCCATTTTTCAGGGGCATGGAAGGAGGTGTTGACTGTTAGAAATCATTACTTCTGTTTAAGAGAAAATCACTTATACACACAGCTCCTTTCATTGAGAGCTGCTAGGAAACAGAAGAAAAAAAAACAGTTTGAGACATTTTTATTATAACCTTTTTACAAATAGGGTTTCAAATGTTTCTCCTTCCAAGGCTGCAATTTCATCGACTGTTCTCATTTTCTGTGTGCAGGTATCGAGTGTCCCAGAGGGTCTCGAAACATGCCAAGTGGGATGCAGGTGGCAGAGCCGTACAGTGAGGAAGCCACGATTTTCACCAAAGAGCTAGTTCTTCAGAGAGAGGTAAGGCCCCTTCAGATCTGCTCCTGTCATTTACAGCCTGTTTCTGTCGCTTTAGTCTTCACAAGCTGTTTCTAGACATTCCATTTCTGTAGTTGACATGACCGTGCCTGCGATGTTTGGTCTCACCGGTCATTTTGTGACAACTATCTGCCAGTTTTTCTTCTTGATCTGTCTCTTTACTGCTGTCTTCACTTGAGATCCTCAAACACCCATTAGAAACCAGCTTGCCTATTTCGGTCTTATATTCAGAGAATGGCTATCTGAATGTTTCCGTTACTCTATGAATAATGGTCACAGAAATTACATGTCCAAATTGAGGAACCGCAGATGTGATGGTTCAGACATTTTATGAGGAAATCACACGATTGCACACTATTCTTACCTTGTCCTCAGGATGCTTGATGCTGTGCGGTTGCCGTTTCCATTAATGCTGTGTGAATGAGGCTGGCAGTCCAGGCGGGCCTAATGAGAGGAGCTTTATTAAGAGCCTAACTTTAACCTGCACTTTACAGAGAGAGACTGGACACAGGAACCTACTGAGAATTACAAAAGCACCAGGAAGCAGGGAAAATAAAAAAGATGGAGTCCTAATGATCTCCATCGCCCACAGTGAAACAAAGCTTTGGCTGTTATGGGAAACAGACATTTCTTGAGGAAAAGAGGGGGCCGTGATCCACTCAAAGTGTGAAGCGTCTTTTGTGTGTCAGAGTACCAGTCCATCTTCATGGACAGTAGATGCATACATTTGTGTATTTGCAGGTTTCCCATGCTCGTGATAAAAACATTTAAGCTTTGTTTTCTACACTGAATTTAATTTAATGCTCAGCTCAGAAATGTTCATTTAAAACGTTATAAATATTTCTAGGTTAAATGGCTAATATATTTAAAAATTTCATAAGACAGAAACATTTATATTCAAGGTTATGTTAAAGTATTGAAATGTTTTTTTTTTGCCATCACAAAGAACAATTTCTACAGTGAATCCTAATAGTTTAGAATATAATATTATATTTAAAATATAATGTGTATAGAAAAATGTTCTTTTCATCACCTTTCGATGTTTTTGATAAAAGGTTTTTAAATTTCACAAACATTTTCTGCAGTGAATATACATGTTTGTAAATTCTAATTTGTGGTGAATATATTTTCTGTTTTTCAAAAATATTTTAAGTTTTATATATAATTATCATCTATTAAAATATATAATATAAAAAAATATAATAATAATTAATAATAAATAAAGATTTACAAAAATATCAAGTATTATCTGCTAATGTAAAATCTATGAAATGTATTGGCCAAATAGTGCAGGAAACATGTCAAGTATGATGCATTCAACAACATAAAACATAAAAATGTTCTCATCAAAATGTGAGTGCCAAATTTGATTATTCTTTGAAAAAAAAAAGACAAACAAACAATAAAAGGATACTTCAACTAAATATTTGGATGCCAAGTGATAAAAGAATCAACCTGGTATCCAAATAACAAAACAGACTAATCTGCACAATATTTCAGGCGTTGTGTGAAGGAGTGCAAAGAACATCAGTGCTTTTGTTTTTCCTTCATTTTTAGTTTTTTTGTCCTGCTCTCCGTACATGCATCTGTGTGTGCCATGGAAGGCTGCTGTGTTTATATTGCCCACTTTAAGCTGCATCCTGAAAGTTGTTCCTCTCTCAATCTGGCTCTAATCTCTCATGATCTGAAGCACATAATTAAACTGGCATGCGAGGCTGCATGTTTCTTGGACACACACACCTCTCCTGCTTTTGAGGTTTCCACCAAGTGGAATTAAGACTGTAGGCTTTAGATTTCCTGAAGCACACATAGCAAGCTGCTACAGAAAGAACGAAAGCATCTGCGAGTGTTTGCGCTTTGATATAGTTGATTTAAAATAGAAATGAATCAAAATTTGTCCGTTTTAATCTTCTGAAGTTGGCAAATGTGGACAAGAGGAGTATCCTGCTACCTGACCTAAGATCCCAACATGACCTGACAGACTTTGTAAGGCCGATAATGGTGTGACAATATGAATATCATACAACAGTGTCAGTGTGCTAGAGGTTATGTTGTTCTGTTTATGCCACAGAACATGTACATATTATATCTCATTAATTGAAGTGTTTTAATTATTTAGTTTGGTATATAATGTGAAGCCGTTTTAAAACAAATACCACACTTATTGAATTGTAATGCATAATCTTACCCTTTGGTTTGTATCCATCCAGTTCCTTTATAAAAAGAGGAATGGAATTATATTTAATTCGGGCATAAACATGAAATAGGCATTATCACATGGTTATTCAAATATAATTTTCAGCAAAACAAACTGTATTTGGATTTATACTCCTACCGTAATATTAACTATAAACTATTATTATTAATAAACTATTCACACTGAGGCGAAAGATTGGTTATCCACCCATGTGATTTGTGCTGCGCTCAGATTTGTAACGATCACATTGATCTTACTAAAAATGTATAATATTGTTAATAAAAAAAAAAAAAACTTGTTTTGCACACACACTTTCATTTATAAGTCAGCTGTTTGAAAATATGCACCACTTTCTGCTTTTAAAGAGAAGGCTGTTTCAGGTTTGGTTCTTAAATTTTTACAGTGCTGGTCAGGTTGGGTCACAGGGTCTCATTTGGCTTTCAGGTTCATACAATTATATGCCCTCCAGATCTGTGTCCTCTACAGAATTGAATGCATTTTATTGTAATAGTAACTGTTTTTTGCCACAAATGGGGAGATTGAGCGCTGTGAAAACTCCTTGGCCAATCAGAGGCTTAGGATGGTGCCGCATATGCAAAGTGTGTGTGAGTGTACTCGTGTGTGTGTGTGTATTGGAGGTCTACAAAGGTCCAAAAACCCACCTATTATTTTGAAAGTTGTTGAGCGCTGTGAAAACTCCTTGGCCAATCAGAGGCTTAGGATGGTGCCGCATATGCAAAGTGTGTGTGAGTGTACTCGTGTGTGTGTGTGTGTGTGTGTGTGTGTGTGTGTGTATTGGAGGTCTACAAAGGTCCAAAAACCCACCTATTATTTTGAAAGTTGGACCTGGGCCCGTGCAGAACCGAGAAATGTCAAAAATGTACTACCCGGAACCGACGCGGACCGTCAATTATTTGAAAGATGGACCCGAACCCGGTCGGGAAGACACATACCCGACTGGACCCGATCGGCACATATTCCACAGCAAATTGCTATTAACAAGTCGATAAACAAGTTAATTAAATAATTAAACTTTTTGTCTTACCTAATGTAAGAAGCCTTCTCCCTTGTACCTGACTGTGATGCACACAATCGTCCTTGCCAAGAAAGTTACATCCGTGTTATTCCTCTCTTGCCAATTGAAATGCGTAATCCACTCATTATTCCAGTTTCAAAAGTCCACTTGCTGTCACAGTGATAAATGACAAATGCGACTTTGCAGTTTTGCATTTTTTGTATCTCGAGTCAACTTGCATAATAATTTAGACTGTTTGCCCAATTGGATTATAATAACGATTGCTCGTCCAGTGCCATGGCTGCTGAAGTTAGCTTTACTTATTTGCTATCATCTCTGAGCCGAGTCTGAGCAAAAATGTTAGATATAACAAGACGGTTCATTCATAATATTATTAAAAAAATAATCAATAACTCGATTCACTCATGAAGGTATCCATTATCCCCGTGCATGTGCATTAACTCCGCCCACCCTGCTTCTGATGACGTTTTATTTTTATTACAAAATTACCGACTCACACTTTTCTCATCCTAATTTTACAAGTTGAAAGTTACAAAACAACACACGCACAGCGCTGACTGACTGATAACGGCCGGGTGTTCTCCGAGTCCGATCGACTCAGGTATTACACACAATGTTAAACAGACACGGGACCCGAAGTAATAGATTGGGAACTGACCTGGACCCGGCTGACCATTTCAAATATAGCCCCGAACCCGTACGGATCCCGGGTCCTCCGTGTAGACCTCTAGTGTGTATATATATATACATATGTATGTATGTATGTGTGTGTGTGTGTGTGTGTGCGTGCATTCATGCAGTAAAGTGATGGGAAAGAGGCCTGTTGATGGCAGCACATGCTAAAACTCAAGCATGGCAGCTTGGAGAGAGAGAGCTGCTCGGACACAGTCATGACTCATCCTCATGCTTGCCACCCCAGCTGCCTCTCACAGATCGTCCAAACTCAACAAATGACCTTTTTGTTCAAAACTGCTCTGTCTTACACACATGCACCCCCGTATCTCAGTCTGAGTGTCTCAGTCCGTGTAGACCTCTAGTGTGTATATATGTGTGGTATGTGTGTGTGTGTGCGTGCGTGCATTCATGCAGTAAAGTGATGGGAAAGAGGCCTGTTGATGGCAGCACATGCTAAAACTCAAGCATGGCAGCTTGGAGAGAGAGAGCTGCTCGGACACAGTCATGACTCATCCTCATGCTTGCCACCCCAGCTGCCTCTCACAGATCGTCCAAACTCAACAAATGACCTTTTTGTTCAAAACTGCTCTGTCTTACACACATGCACCCCCGTATCTCAGTCTGAGTGTCTCAGTGTATTTAGTCTCGCTCATACACATGGTCTGTGAGTTGGCTTACAATCTTTAGCACTTGAGTGATTTATGTCTGGTTATGTTATCATATGCATCTCTGTGTTATCCACTTGTTCAAACTTAATTTTCCCATTCTTATAAGAAATAAAGTCATATTACCAGGTTGCACCAGCTGTGCTTAAGATAAAACTTGATACAGTTGTGGTGTAAATGATCACGAAGACAGTATTGCTGTTTATTATTATAATTATATTATATTGTACTATATTAAATTACCATTGACTGGTTAAGTTTGAACAATAAGAAGATAAACTAAAATGCACACTTTTACGCTACATCATGTATGACTACACTTTACAGAGAGCTTACAACCTTCTAGCTAAGTCTTGCTTTGCACCATTTAGTATGTCGGAAATTGAAGCGTGGCTCTTAGTGTAAACTA